ACTATTTTTAATTCAATTCTTTAAAATTTTAGTTCGTTTAAAAATTTTTGACAAAGAAATATTTGAAAAATTAAAAAAATCGAACTTTCAAAACTAAAACAATATTTTCTGTGTCAAAAGTTATGTTAAGTCATATTAATATGAACGTAATTTTTTTAATTAATTTTTGATCATTCTAGATTTGGTACATAAAAATTAGATATAATTGATTTTAAATTTATTTAGAAAATCGAGGCGATTCGCGGGATCATAATCAAATATTTTCAGATTTTCAAGTATTTCCAACGTATGTGTAATATTAATATTTGAGATTTGAAACATTTTACTTATTTCTTATGCGATGATTTATTCTATTGGGAAAATCGTACCAAGAGAGCAAAAAAAAACTAGCCTTACATTTTCAAAAATAACACTAGACTTATTCACAATAGCACCGCAAACTACTCCTTATCGATATCGAAAAGGCCGAATTGTATTCATCTTTACTTTCCCATCAGAATCAGAGAATCAGATTGTTGTTTTAAAGTTATATTTTTAACGTATTTTAAGAGTATTGTCCAAGGATCAGTAAAAAATGCAAAGAACATATTTATTGAACTATATTGAGACAAAGAAAAACTAATTATATTTGTATCTGTATTATTTATGCACAGTTAATAATCAAATTTAGAGTATGGTCACCATTATCTACAAAAAAACCTAACAATCTTTATTCCAAAGTAAATTTTGCTTCCGTTGTTCATATTTGCTCTATTTCCATAAACTTAACCACACATATCTTCAAGTTTCTTCATCAGATGCGAATCATTCGCAACAAAAACAAAAGTGATAATTCAATTTTTCGGAATAAATAAGCCATTTTCTAAGCACTGATTTCCCATTTTCTCTTTTTTTCTATTATAATTTGAATCTATTTGTTTTGTCAATAATGCTTAACAATATTTGATCTTTCGCGGAATTAAACACTAGATATTTTTTTTCTCGATTCCACGTTAACTTCAAACGAAGAAAAAATGCAATAAAATAGATTAAGCAATAAGCAGAACAGTAAATTCCTAATTTGCAGAGTTATTAATCGGTTAATTGTTTCTACTGACACCACATTGCAAACTAAATATGCTTCGTATCCATCGTTAAGTCATAGATTGTTTATTATAATCTAAGTATTCTTGATTTTATATTTAAATAAATATAGCGCCCCCCCCCCTATAATTTTACCTATTTTAACAGTTTAACATTTGAATTATATAAATATTTACATATTTTTTAAAAATTAATTTTTAATTATTCTGGATTTAGTACGCAAAAATTAGATATAATCTAAAATCGTATAAAATACATTGATTTTAAATTTATTTGGAAAATCGAGGCGATTCGCGAGTTGATTGGAATCAAATATTTTTAATTTTTCAATTATTTTTAACGTATGTGCAATATTAATATTTAGATTTTAAAACATTTTACTTATTTATTTTGCGATTTATTCCATTAAGCAAATCATGCTAAAAGAGCTAAAAAACTAGAATTCATAACACTCGTATTTCATGTTGGATTTTTCAAATTTTAATTTAATTTAATTTTTCATTATTTACAATATCCAAAATTGCGTCGTGAACGTCTCCTTATTGATATCGTAAGAGCCGAATTGTATTCATCCTTGCTTTCCCGTCATATTCAGAGTATCAGATTGTTGATTTAAAGTTAAATTTTTAACGTTTTTTCAAAGTATTGTCCAAAAATCAGTAAAAAACGCAAAGAAATTACACATTTCTTAAACTATATTGAAAAAATAACTAATTATATTTGATGTGTATTATTTCTGCATAGTTAAATTATTAAATTTGGAGTATAGACACCACTTAATATAAAAAAAGCCTTTAGATTTTCGTTCCAAAGTAAACTTTGTTTCCATTTTTCATATTTGTTCCATTTTCCTAATCCTCACCACGCATGTCTTCATCATCCAATTCAGTTCATCATATACGAAACATTTGCAACAAAAACAAAGTTGCAATTCAATTTCTCGGAACAAACATGCCATTTTCTAAGCACTGACTACCCATTTTTTCATTTTTCCTATTACATTTATATGTTTATATTTTTTAACAAGTACAGTTTCAACTAAATCAGCTCGCAATTTTTCGTCAATAATGCCCAATAATTAATTTAATCTTTCGCAGGTTTGGCCTTATGGGATTGAACACTAGATAATTTCTTTTTTGATTCCACGTTAACTTCAAATAAAAAAAAATAGCAAAATAAATATGCTTTTTGTGTCTCCGTATCCCTAGTTAAGTTAGATTGTTTATTATAATTTATTAAGTATTCTAAATTTTATATAATTAATAAAACATATAAATAATGTATTATAAATTTAATTTCCGAAACACGTTTTGGCGCTCCCTAAGGCGAGCGCCCGCATTTTTTGCATGCATCGCATGCAAGGCAAGACTGGCCCTGTATTTATATGTTTATATTAGGGTGGTCCTTAATTTGGACATTTTCGAATTTCCTTGCTCCCAAGGGCTCAAACGGTTCCAAATTGATAAAAAACAATTCTATGAAAGTTTTACCTCTTAATATTAACTTTTAGATAGTGCGTAATTCAATCAAACTTCATATGGAAATAGCATGGAAAAAATTTTGAAAAAAAAAATAATTTAGGTATAACTTAGCGACAAATGAATTAAAAGTGAAAATTCGTGTCATTTTTTGGTAAAAATTCGACGCTCTGCAAATTTTTTTCATGCTATTTCCATACAAAACTTTGATTGAATTGCGCTCTATCTAAAAGACAATATTAAGAGCTAAAACTTTCAGAGTTTTGTTTTTTATTAATTAGAAACAATTTGAGCCCTTGGGAGCAAGGAAATTCCAAAATGTCCATATTAAGCACCACCCTAATATATATATATATATTAGTGATGTGCCGACTCGAAAAATTCCCGATTCGAATGATTCGAATCAGAAAAAAACCTGATTCGAATCATGATTCGAATCAACTCGAATCAAGTATATATATGGACAAAAAAAATGATGGATGTATTAATTTAGTAAAAGTGATCCAAATTTATAATCAAAATTGTCAGTTTAACCAATATAACCGACAAAGTAGAAATTGTAAACATAAATCACTATCAAAAAGTATATTCTGAAAATTATTAAAAATGATGTAGTTTTGAGGACGGCTAAAACATATCTTCAAATTAATTTACAATAATAGGTTACCAAACAATTGTGCATCACTAAAGCATATAAAATAATATTTGGAATCATGGGTCGATTGTTTATTTTACTATGTAATCAGTAAAGGATCGCATCTAAACTGAGAGCTGAATGTTAATTTCATTAATGTGAATTTGCCATTACTTACATAATTAGAAGTTAACATATTATTTACTGACTTTCTGGTGTTTAGTAATTGTTTCAAAAGAGAATTATATTGAAAGATTCCCGAAACTCGTTTCATAATTTCGAGTGGTTTATTCTGATAACATTTAAAATCTAAAACACTTAATTATTATCAAAATTGGGTATTGATATTTCACGAACAAAATCGCTCTCAGCTCTCCGTAAAATAAATAAACACGCAAGAACGACGACGCATTGTATCGCCCATACGGTTAACTCATATCGCTCGAACGGCTTGAAGTCGGGATGATTCGAATCAGAATTGAAGTCGGAATAACTCGTAACGCCGCTTGATTCGGTTTGGCTCATGAAGTCGGAACAACTCATATCGCCGCTTGATTCGGTTTGAGTCATATGAAGTCGGATGATATAGTTAGTCGATGAACGCGGTTAAAGTCACACAAAGACGATTGGAGTTGGCTGATACATTTAAGCATATTAAAGTCGGGTGGCTCGCATGATTTAATTCATTATTTATTTTTTATATTTATGATATTTATTTTTTATATTATTATAATATTGAATTAAATTAAAACATTTTTTTATATTTATATTTATGAAAATTTTTATATTTATGAAAAATTTGTGTTAATACATATTTTATCACAGTAAATATTTCGCGGCTTGATGCGAGTTGATCCGAATCAAGTAAAATCTGATTCGAATCAAGTCGTTAAAGGCTTGATTCGAATGATTCGAATCACTTGATTCGACTTGGCACATCACTAATATATATATATATATATATATATATATATATAATATATATATTTATATATATCTTATATATAAATCTTAAATATAAAATTATTTTGTAATGATGTATGAATTGATACTCCTCCTAAACGGTTATTCGGATTTTAATAATTCTTTTTAGAGTTTTTGACGGAAATTTTCAAGGTGTGGGGAATTATATAAAATTATAGTAATATTGTAGAAATAAATGGAAAATATTGCAAAAAAACAACATATCATTGTTTGACATTGAAAACATTTTGACATATAAGAATTGTCATCTGCCAAAAATGTCGGTTTACTTAAAATCATTCAGCTAAAATACAAAAAGAGTAATAAAAATAAAGTAACAAAAAAAAATACAGAATACAATATATATATATATATATAATATATATATATATATATATATATATGCCAAGAGTTTATACCAAAATCGTTTTCAAAACCATTTTGTTTCAAAAATCGATCGCCATATTGAATCTATCGGTCATCATTGAATCATTTAATTAACACATTTTTACGTGTGTTACCTCCAATCAGGAACTAAACATTTGTAAACCATATTTTTTTATTAAAAACACGCCTCAAAAAATATATTAACAAATATAAATAACTTTCAAACAGCACAGTAAAATAGCGAATTCAAAGCAAATACAAATTAAATTTCAACAAACGAAAATGATGTTTCCATACTTACCAACATGAAAGATTAGACTGCCGCACTTTTATCTATGGTCGCACTCATAGATAAGTAAACATTGGGTAGGCATTGGGTCTTTATGCTTACTTATCTGTGGGTCCCTCTCTCCGAGCCCTATGTAGCCTTGACAGTATAATAATATGCTATGTAGGCAGAGGCAGTGACAGAAGTGTTATGAATTTACAGAGTTAAATTAATTAGTAGGAAATATAATGTTTGCGCAAAAGTTATTATCTAGCTCCATCCATTATCTCAACACTCGATTAGCAAGCACATTTGTACAAAATGTTGTGCCTGGTATGCAAAGGAATAATTATTTAATTCCTTGTAGGTTATGTAGCTTTATAAAAATTTTTATTTTTAGCTGCCAGTAGTTGCAGTATATTACTACACCAGCATGCAGCAAATTATAAATTTCCATCTGTTAATAATAGTCTGATATATAGAAAATACTGCACAAATAATGCCCTAGAGCCAATGAAGAGTATCTCGAATAATACAGTAATAGAAAATGTGAATCATTTAACAACGAACTGCGAAGAAGGACGACTGTTTGCCATTGTCCACATATGTGGTAAACAATTTAGAATAGTTGAAGGGGATATTATAGTTATTGAGGGTTATTGGCCTCCGGACATCGGTGATAAAATAAGCTTAGACAAGGTAAGCTTGGTAATCGATAACAATTAGAAAAGTTCAGAGTTTAACTCCATAAAGTAATGTAAAGATCATTAACATATTTTCTGCAAGCTATACCTACATACATTGATGTTTAAATAAAAGAAAAACAATTTTTTTTGTAAATAGTTACTTGAGTTGTACTCAAGTATTATTGATCATAATTTTTATGAGTTTTTAATTTCAATACTTCAAAGTTTCTTAACAAGTGGACATGCTATTTGCCCGAAATATAAAAATAATTATAAACAAAAAATTAAATAAATAATTTCCTTGGCAAGAAGAGGCTTTTAGTTGAGAAAATAGAATCACAAATATTACTTCATAATGAAACTATACTATACTAGGTTGTAACAATTTTCATATTTTTATCAATCATTATTTATAAGCCATAAAAGAACTTGATTAATTGTTCAAATGGCCATAAACAGTGAATTTTATTAACAGAGATAATAGTTTTTTTGTGATTTGAGATATTAGAAATAATATTAGTAAAATACATGAAAAAGCAACTCAATGCTTTTGAGAAATACTGTTTATGTAAGATTATGTGACTGTTGGTGCTAAGTTTGGCACCAATTTCCATACAATATTACAATATAAAATAAGCATCAACTATCTTACTACTATATATAGTAGGTATTTATAAATAACCCATTATTGACACATTACAAATTTGCATATGATTAGGCATTTAACATATGTTGGACATAGCTTTTAAATTTTGTTCAATGATTCACAGTATAAATGAAATCCTTAAATGTCCTAATTGTTCAGTAAGCCATGGATTTGCATTGATTTAAATTTTATATTGTAGATACTATTAGTAGGCAGTGCTGATTTTTCCCTTATAGGCCGTCCACTTATAAAGAAAGGTTTAGTAAATGTCACAGCTACAGTAATAGAAAAGACATTATCGCATACCAAGACACATTTTAAGAAAAAGAGGAGGAAGCAATATATGAGAATAAATTGTAAGACACATTAGCAGAATATAATTTTATTACATAACACATTTCTAATTTATTTATTATAGTTTATAGAAGCCAACATACCATGCTACGTATAAATACTATTGAAGTTCAAGATCAAGTTAATTCCAGTAAAGAAATAATAAATGAAATCAATCTTTACTAATTACTTTTAAGTGTGTAGATTAAGTAGTTTATTAAAGAAAAATGTAACACAAGCTTATAGCATATATATGGACATTGCGAATGATATAAATAAATAAAATGTGAGTATCACAGATGAATAAAACATCAGATAATATGTTGTTTTTGGTAATGTCATTAATTGTTGAATCAATATCGTTTAACCATTTTTTCCTCATTTTGAAAAATGCAGAAAATTATTTTCCTTCACATTTAATATTTTAAAAACAAGTTTTGACACAAAAAAATATTTTTATATAATGCATCATATATTCAAATTTATTATAATGATATACTTAATATAAAAAATATTTCAGAGATTTAACATAGGTTCATATTCTAAATATATATAAATAAGTTTTGAGATTTGAATAATAAGTATAGATTAATTTTATGCACAGATAAAGAAATATTCATTTCTATATTTGAATAATACATATTTCTTGATAAACTTTGGTATGTGATTTTTTTTCTCCTTAAACAGTCTCATACTCCCTTCTTATTGATTTTGCAAGACTACAAGCAAATATAACACCAAGTACCTATAATAAAATAGATTGTATTATACCATATACTACAAAATATATCATCTCTTATCAAAAAAAAAAAAAAAAAACCTGAACGAAGGCTATTCCTACACCAACTCCACCCAAGATGAGAGCTTTATTTTGCAGAAAGTCTAATAATGTAGGCATACAACCATGTTTATGAGCTTGAGCAATATTGCATTCAAAATCACTTTGGAGCTCATCACAGCAGGATTTTGGAATTGTGTCATTATTAAAAACTTTTTTCCAGTCACTTGGTCCATTCATACCACAGCAATCGAGCTGAAAAAAAAGTTTTAAATAAAAATAATTTTTGAACCAATTATGTAGTAGAACCTGCTATAACAGTCTTGAAACTTATTAAAAATTTAGGTAAAAAAGTACTAAAAAAATAGGTAAAAATAGATTATAAAAATTATATTGTTATTGCTCTTTTCAATGACAGATTAACCCTTTCCAACCCTCACACTACAAATTATATATATATATATATATATATATATATATATATATATATATACTAATGGAAAGATACTTACATCTTCCTGGATAACGTCCCATGTTGCACGTGTTTGCTTATCATCAATATAGGAATTCATACTGGTATTAAAATTATTTTCCAAGGTTTCAGCAAGTTCACCATGCTTTATATAGCCAGCTATTCCAGCAGATAATTCCAATATAAATATACCAATGAGAAATACTGCAAACTAAATAATTTTTTATTATATGTATTCCAATGATCTTTAAATTTAAGACTACAAACGCTTACGGTATAGATCATGCAATTACTCTCCTTCACAGCACCACAGCATCCGAAGAATGCGATAACAAACGCAATTGCGCCAATTACAATAAGCAAGACAGGAGCTGACCAGACACTAGCATTTACAAATTCAGAATAGTGGTGAAAAGATGATTGGATTAGGGCTCCAACAATAAGAATGGTAAGTCCTGAAAGCTATAAAAATGTAATATATATACAAATTCATTATATAAATTGATGTTCGTTCAGTAATGTAAAAAGTTACAGAATAAGTAACTCATTTGTGAAATGTTCGTTTCACATATTACAAATACATATGTCAAACAGAATGAGTCACTGTGAAAAAAATTATTGGATAAATCAATTGATTTTTTATCATACATAATAAAATAAAGAATATGTTTAATAAAATGATATTCTTTTTAACTAGAATAATGAATACTTACAGCAAATATTAAATTGAAGCAGAACAATAAATACTTCACGCACGTCATGCCAGCTGACACCATTTTGATGCTTCGAATTAAATGTTTTTTATAAGATCTCACTAATATTATTACAATATAATAAATATGATGCAATTAAATCATTACCTGGTATTTAAGTTGATAATTAATAACGATTATTAACAATAAAACATGTAGATCTCAATCTCAATGCGCAAAACAGTATTACTCATAGATACGTGTGAAGTAGGATGTTTATCATGTTTGTCATCAATTTACTCAGACAGATATCCCATAACCGTTATAATTGAAATAGTATCGACAGACAACTGTAAAGCATTAAAATATTTGAACTTAAAATAAAAATTATATTAAAATATATGCATATATATATATATATATATATGTGTATATAGTGTACTTGAATTAGCATTATTAATATAATAATAATAATATCTGAGAAGTTGAATGTTTAGAAGAAAATATTATATAACAATAAGTGAAGTTCAAAGGCAGTTTAGTATACTGTTAGAATTAATACTGTTAGAATTATTTAATAATTTATAGTATTTATATATATATAGTAACTATAAAATTGATATAGTTATGAAATCACTAATTAAAACAATCTTAATCTATAAATAATTGGTAATCAAATACTTTCTACTTCTTGGATTCTGACAATATTTACGTATAATTTGAATTAAATATTATCGAAACACTGATACTTTTGCTTATTCGCAAAAATATACAATTTTAAATTTTGTTCAAACTCAAATGTCAAAATAAAGATCATATGATATTTAGGAGATTTATTTTTTAGAAGTAATTACTTTCCTAAAAGTGAATTGAAATACAAATCGTTATTAGAAACAACTAAAAAAGTAAAACATATGTGAAAAATGTTAAAAAGACTTGTGTGTTATTTATAGATTTATAAAGAAGAATTTTGACTCAAAAAATTATTCGATTTAAAGTTCACTAAAACAATTTTTCTTTTTCTTTCTGGGATTACCATTTTTGAATTTTGTGCCAAAAATCAAATGTCAAAATCTCGTTATGTTGGCAGAGCTGCGTAAATTATTTGAGAACTGCGTAAAGTTCAAGAGATGGATAGATAACAGAATGGCAAATAGCAAAAGACAGAAAGGGTGATACTGTGATATGTGCTTGAGGTTTTGTGACGATAAAAGTATATTTTGCTTAAATAATATTTTTAGGAATGTGTAACTGCCAAAGTTTTCATAGCATCCTTTGTCAGTTAGTTTTCTATCGTAATATAATATTAACCAGTATTCATCAACCTATTATATTATTTTCTTCTACTAAGTATTGTACAAAACCTTTTATTTTTAGTTTATTAAATATGGTACATATCGCTTTTATGTTTTGAGAAAAAAACTAATGTTTACAAATATTTTTATTGCGAGTGATATTATTTATATGAAGTCAATAGTGTATCAGTTTATATGTTGACAAATGCATTTAGCAAAATCACGATGGCACAAGATCCTTGGTTTTTAAAGGAGGATGGTTATCTAAATGTTAATACTGAAACATCATTCATTGTTCACCATCCAAATCTAAATGTCATACTGGTATGCACAAAATTGGGGAAAGTCACTGTCATAGACGTCAATTCTGGGGATATATTACAATCAACTACAATATCAGGTCTGTCTCTTTTGCTAAATTAAGAGAATTTTGACTAAGAATCTATTAAAATGAAATTTGAGCATAAAGTACAAAGTGTGCATAAGTTGTTTCACATTTTTATGATATGTTTTACTTTGCCTTTATAAATCCATGTACATTTGATTTTTCACATTTATATGCTGATGTAGTCTTATTTCATTATTTCAGTATCAAATATATTAGATTTTTTCCCAACTATATAACTTAGTAAACATGAAATGTATTATTGGTAATAAATCATCTTTATGATTTATCTTAAATGATTTATGATTAATTAATAGTTTTTTTTAAATATATATGCTCTAATGTTTATGTTGAAATATATATTTTTTTAATGTGATTAAATATTATGGAGTATTGTAGAGTTCTCATAAGAAAGCATTATGTTTATTACAGATGAAACATATTCAAACATTGGTGGCCGATATTTGTCTGGAATTGATAAAATATTATTTTGGAATGGTTTGGGAATTGGACTGCGATCTGATTATAATGGTGTCCTCTTGCTACCAACAATTTTACAAATTCCTACATTTGATATCAAGCAAAACATAAAATTAGAACTCCTACTTTCTGAGGTATTGAATGTACACAATACTTTAATGAACATTTTTTAAGGCTCAAAATTATCAATTTATAGGCTGTATTACTAAGACAATCTCTTAAAGGACTGATTTTGCCAAGTAATGGACAGTGGGCAGATTTTGCCAGTATGTTAGATCTGAAAATTGATGTAGCCAAATCAACTCCAAAGAAAGGAATTAAAGCCCAGAAGGTAAGATTTTTATATAGTTTTACTTGAACCTTGTTTTTTCTTTGTCATTTTATGCAGTTAGGTTATTATGATATTTGTATCATATAATGTAACAAAATATTGTTTTATTACAATACTTCTGAATGTTTTTGACCCACAATAATATTCACTTTTCAATGATTCATGTATAATTTCTTCAAAATTTTTTAAATTTGATTATGCTAAATATTTCTGTAATTGTGTAATTATAGAATAATATGGAATATGAGCTAATATTTTTTATACATATTTCAGTGGAATATTGTAGAGTTAAATATGCCATTAGGTGTTTTACAAACAATAGTATCACTATTACACTCAGACATGAAGTCAAGTGAACAATGCTCACCTGGTATGGCCATTGTTGCTTCTATGCATGAAAGACTTTTAACACTATCCACTGGGACATTGGATTGGAGTGTCACTGCTACTTCTGGTAAATATATCTATTTTTTTTTTCTGAGTTTCGAAAATTTAAACTAAACTTTTATTGAATCACATAAAAACTTAATTGATTATTTGAAAACTAAATCAAAAAAGTAATTTTGTATTTCTGTATGCACTGAGTATTAAATGATTGAATGACTTAGTAATTTTTACTGATTATCAACTAGTAATAAAAAAATAATTTGTTTACTACATTTTGGTTATAGGTCTAAATAATTCTTCAACACCAACAGCAAATCAACAAATTGATACATTGTTAGAACAATCTGGTTCGGGCTCGGGCCAATCAAGTGAAGATCCTGATAGGGAAAATATGTTTTCAGAAGCTGCTAGACGAAAAACATTTGATAAGTGGCCTCACATGGATTATAAGTATGTTTAAAAATTATTTGGATAAAAAAACATCAGTGTTGTTTTAAATACTTAGGTATTTTTATGTGCTTTTTGTTACAAGGTTATTTAATCAATCATAATTAGTATTTTACAGTATTTTCTAATTTCTCATCTATCTTTCTAAAATTTTTAGTCTTTGCAAATTATTGAAAACTAATTATTGTAAAAATATATTTTTAAAAACCAATTAATTTTTATTTTTATTTATTACATATAGTATAAAATAAAAGTTTTGTGATTTAATTTTTGATAAAAAAAAATTATGAAATTTGACAATAAAAATTTATATGTGCATATTATTTTTTAGATGGGCTCTTCCGGATCAAATGGCCCAAGCCGGTTTTTATTACAAGCCAACATCAGTGGGAGATGATAGAGCAATGTGTTTCACATGTAGTGTGTGTTTAGTATGCTGGGACCGAACTGATGAGCCTTGGAGTGAACATGAGAGGCATTCTCCGGGATGTCCTTTTGTAAAAGGAGAATATACACAGAATGTTCCTATAGCAGTTAGTACCTTTATTGATATCTATGATACGTGATTTTGATTTTTCTTGCATGGACATTCTATATTTATTAAAATGTTTCAATATTGTATATGTAAAAGCAAGTGTTATAAAATATTTATTGTGTCATAAGTATTTATAATTGTTAATTCATTATTATTGTTTCTTTCTTTAATTTTATTACTAGGTATAATACTATTTTTATTACCAGGTTTCTTACGCTACTGGAACAGCTGGAAGTTACTCAGATATTCAAACTGTATCTGATGGTGATCACCCAGAAATCATTTGCACCAGTAAATCTGATAATGAGATTACTATTTGGTCTGTTAATAGAGATTTGGAAAAGCAACTTAGTTTTAATATCACTCCTGATATCTTAGAATTGAAAGGTAATAGTTTCTACATATATATATATATATATGTGTGTGTGTGTGTGTGTGTGTGTGTGTGTATGTATTAAAGAATTAGCATCCCAATTTTCGAATTAAAAAAAGGGTTAGCAGAGAAAAATGTTGTATTAACTATCTTGATTCAGCAAATCGAAAATTCATTATTACAATGAATCAAATATTTGAATATTAATTATGAAATATATTGAGAATAAATATACATACCAAACCAGGACTAAAACAAAAACACTAAATATTTGTATCAAAAACTAAAAACTTATAAATAATTTATGTACATGTAATATTAAATTTCTAATACTTCTTATCACACACATTATTTTCTTTATTACAGATTCTCCAAATGAATCAATTTCCATAACAGCACTTGCAATTCTATCATCTTTGAATGATCAAAAAGCAAATTCGAAATCTGCAAGTAGCACATGTATGACAAACCTAAATAAAGATATGACCCAGATTATTTGTGGTGTGACAGCTCAAAATTGTTCATATATTGTTCAATATGAATATATAACTACTCCTTCCAACGAACCTACCAATAATGATGAAACTACTAGCCCTGGTATAGGTGGTGGAGCTCGAAAAGCAAATTCCACAAATATCCAAAATATGAAAGATGAAGTTGTCGTTATGTATGTGGATGATAACAGTCATATACCGCATCAATTAGGTCTGAAGAAGAAAAAAAAGAAGTCGAAAGATAAACAAACAATTTTAACTGCGTTTCATTTCACAAATGATCAAGATCATCAAAATTCAGAACTTTTCGGTATACCAGAAAATCCTGATGATGATACTGGTGTAGATCAAATTAGTTATGAATACTTTGTGGATTCACCTGTGTATGATAAAAATCAATCTTCTTCAAGTGTAATAAAATATAATGATGATTCAAGTAGCAATATGATACATCCAAGTAATATTTTAGCAAAGCTTTTATTTAAAAATGATCTACATCCGGATGGACTCGAAGCTTTGATATCAAAATACATGAAAGTTAAGGGAGATAAATCTGAAACTAGTAGTGTGACCATTCATACTACTAAGCAACCACTTGTCAATTATGAAAATAGTGATTCTTGTCTGAGCTATCAATCTGATGCAACTGATTTTAGTGCATTAAATGGTTATGCTTCAGTCTCTAAGACTCATGAAAATGTATCTGTTGGTAGTAAAAATACAGGGCAATCCGAAACAACAAGTGGCATTGTTGCAGATGATGAGTTAGTTTCTAAAAAACCATCATGTTATAGAAGTGTAAGGTTATTGAATTTTTTCAGAGTGCCATGCAAAAGTAATAGAAAAATTACTCACTTATTTCCATCTAGAGATGGAAAGTTTCTAGTTGTAATTTCACAGAAAATGGTAAGTTATTATTGCAATGAATTTGAATATTTATAATGTAAAAAAAATAAAGCCTTTCCAGAAAAATAATGTATAATTGGGGAATATAAATCAGTTGTAGTCTTAATGCTTAATTTTAATTACAATATGTAATTTTATTTATATTTCTATCATATGTCAACTATTTGTTGGGTTGTGCTGTTTTTAAATTATACTATACAATGCATTTACTTTGATATCAATTTATTTTCTCTTATTAAAACTGCTATGAAATTTCAGAAAGAAACTACTAATGAATCTATGGAAGTTGATGATATTGATTCTTCATCATGTCGAGCTGTAGTTATGTCAATTGAGGAACAGTCATCAGATGTAGTGTGCGTAAGATCTTTTACAACAGCAGAGAAACCTATTGAGATCAAAGTTATCCCAGCAAGAAGGAGGTCTTCAGGACTGTTGCTGATCACATCCGCCGATGGGCTTGTTAGATTATTAGATATACAGGTGAGGTCATTTATATTCATGCCTGAATAATACTTGTGAATTTTTTTTATATTTAAGATGGAAAATTTATGCTTGATAAGCAGAACATTATCTAAAACATTTTTTTTATTGTTGTTCGTATGTGCTGAATATTAGGTTGGTAACTAAGTGTGGTTCTCAGCTTAAAAGTCCAAATGTAATATACCATTTTGTTAATGGATAGTAGGCTATTCAGATGTCCATCAGTAACAAATAAATTTTTGATCGGTTGCATAGAACTCATTGAATGGTAAACAATTCATTAATTATGATGGTGTCAAATTGTACATGATTCAGTTTTTGGTAATAAAAACTAGAAGTTTTATGAAAGTGGGGTAATGATGTTGTTCGAAAGATGACAAAAAAAAGTCATAGATCAAAATGGACAATTACTTAGTTGCCAATTTAGCATGTTTTATATGAATACATCTTCAGTAAATCACCAAATGAATTTTCAAATTACAAATCAATAAAATTAAAAATGCAATAAAAGCTATAATATGATTATAAAAGAAATATGTAAAATATGAGCAAATTTTTATATTTATTTGTATTTTACAGACATTATCTACAATTGCTTCAACTTCACCAAATGATGGCCAATATGTCTCTGCAACTTACTGCTATGGACTGGGTCGCATATGTGCTGGCACAGAGAAAGGCTTACTACGATTCTATGGGCTCGAAGGGGAGGATCTTGATGAAGATGAAGAAGAAGATTTAGAATTGACATCTAATTCAGTATTGGCCAATGAAGTTATAGAACTAACTCCTAAGATTTCTGATTTTTATAAAACTAAATCAACATGTGATTCAGAGACTATCGAGTTCAATGCGAATGTTGAAGATAATGTAAAATCAAAAGATACATCTATGAATGCTCAGGAACGAAAGCAGGAGAGCAAAACACAATCAAAGACAAGTTCAAGCAAAATTTTCAGTTCATCTTTCAATAAACAAGATCTTTTAGCAAGCAAGAAGGTTTTGATGGTATGTTATTTATATTTTGTGATACATTTTTCATCTGTTTGCCAGAAGCTTTTGTACATATATTTAGGATGGGTCAAATAGCAGGAAATTGAAAAAAATTACTAGGGCTCCTTTGCAATTTGGGCTTTTGAGTCTTTTCAGGAAACTGTGCTGAAATTTTTAAAGATTTATTTATTTCATTTACATTAGTTTATCATACATATTTCTATACAATTTATATAATCATGTATAACTATCATGTATAACTGTGCTGAAGTATTTTCTCCTAAAAAGATGAAATAATAAGTGCTGGTGAAAACACTATATTCAATGTTTTGGTAACTCAAAATTTATATATGAGCTATGGTTTCTTTGTCAAACAAGTTTCTTGAAAAAATAGGATTGCAAAGAGCTCTAATGACCAAAAAAATTTATTTGAATATATAGAGAAATTTTTGTAAAAAAAATGTGAACTTTTAAATTTTATTAATCAACTAATAGTGTTGTTTCTGAAAAAAAAAGGTAGAATTTCATGTTTCCACTTAGTAATAATCTTATATATTTACGCATTTTATTTATATAAGGTATCAGATCTGAGGAATCTGCATAAGTTGTCATTATTTGACGAAGCATGTTTTCCGTATGGAGCTACTGTTCCTGCATGTTGGTGCCGTTTAGTGCAAGCGCAGAAGCAACGCAGGCAACCTCATCGAGCTAGATCAGAAGATAGTCAGCATGCTTATGCATGGAGATTGCAAAATGATGCGTATGTGATACTTTATTTTTTTATTATAAAATTTTCATTTATTATAAATAAATATTAAATAAATGTTTCCAGAACGACTTGGGATGAACACATTTTTGAATTAACGCTGCCATACTCATGTAATCTTGGACATGTAGATTTTAAATTTTCACTTCACTCTCCTTGCCATGTGGCTCCAAATATACAGGTATTTCTAATGTAATATATATATATATATATATATATATATATATATATATATATATGAGTAAGTTCTTCAAGGGCATACATAAAATAAAAGGCAAAGATTTAGAAGTTAATCTTTAATTTTTCCAAACGTTTCGACATATTTTATAACTATATAAAATATGTCGAAACGTTTGGAAAAATTAAAGATTAACTTCTAAATCTTTGCCTTTTATTTGATGTATGCCCTTGAAGAACTTACTCATATTTCTCAACATCAAAACTAACTTCTCTAACATATATATATATATATATATATATATATATATATAATATATATTTGATTTAGTAGTTAATTGAGATATATAAATAAATTCTTTAAGGGCGATGCATCAAAACAAAAATTTATAAATTAATCTTTAATTTCAAATATAAGCATTCGACACCATATCTATTACATGTTTTTTTGCAGAAATACTTTTCCTACATTTTTGTGAGACAAGAATCCCATTATTTTTCCTGTTCCCATGAAAGGAAAAAACTTTATGATTATTGAAAAGTTAGTTGTATCAATGTTGGTGCAAACTTTTGTGCTGAGTACACATCTTTAGATGTAAAATACCAAGTTCAATATCCACTGATGATGACATCAAATTGTATGTCAAAATGTTTGGAATTAAAGATTAATTTATAAATCTATATATATATATATATATATATATATATATATATATATATACATATACATATCCATGGCTATAATAATTATATGCTTTCAGGTGACCTTATTAAAACAATTATCTGGTATAGGGCATCATGGCAAATCTGATTCAACTGATGTGAAAGCTTCATCTAATCTTACAGATGTCATAGGTATATTACTCAATTTTTATTGTATGTCATTTTGTTGGTTGTATATTATTATTAGTCTTGCAACGAATAGTATATTCGGTAGGTTTTTGGCCTAAACTCGTTTGTTGGCACCATTTATACTATTCGGCCGAATACCGAATACTTGAACACCACATGTGATAGGAAGATAAATGGTATAATCGTGAAAATAGCGGTTCTTTACATATATGTAATTGTGTTTTCCAATTATTTCTTTCATAAACTTTTAATATTTTCTTCTATAAACTTAATATTATTTCTTATATATTAAGAATGTTAACAAAATAAATGAAAAATGATATGTTATATTATTTGTATATTTTGTGATAAAGAGCTAATAGTGATTATAGCTCTTTATTTGGAAATGCTTAGATTTCATATAATGAATGACTTTATTGTACATATTGATACAATACATGCTTGTAACCATTGAATGGTTCATATTAAATAATATAAACATGTAACAATAATTTATCTTGTGAATATTCAGAAAAAAAATCTTCGCGTGTTTATTGATAATGTCAAAAGTCGATAAAGTTCAAATTATTATATATACAATAACGAAATCATTTCTTTATAACATATTATGTAAACTAAACACTTCCAAATACAGATCCATCGCGAGCTCTTTATCGCATAAAAGATAAAACACCAACGATGCTGTTGCTGAGCGGCGGCGGCTCCTTTGATTTTAACTATTCGGTACTCGGCTGAATATTAAGAAAGGTGCCAAATATGCCGAATACCGAATAGTAACCGAATATTCGGTGCAAGCCTAATTTTTAGTTATTTCTTTCATAATCATTTATTGTTTTCTTTTATTAACACAATATTATTTGTTATGTTATGTTACACCTGACCAAAAATATTATTCGTATTTTTTGCGGTAAAGAGCTTATGATATCTATTTATTTAGAAATGCTTATAATGAACTTTATTGAATATAGATACAACACATGTGTGTTACAGTTGAATGATTCCTAACAAATAACATAAATACATAACAATAACGTGTTCTTTGAATATTGAGGAAAGATTTCTTCACATGTTCGTTCATAATCTCAAAAGTCGATAAACTTCAAATTATTATATAAACAAAATACAATAACGAATTCATTTTATATTTCATTTTATGTAAGCTAAAGACTTCAAAATATACAGATTCATTGCAAGCTCCTTACTGAGTAAAAGATAAAACACACACACAATATTTTCGGCGAGTGGCGGCGGCCGCTCCTTTTATTTTAACTATTCGGTATTCGGCCGAATATCAAAAAAAAGTGCCTAATATGCCGAATATCGAATAGTAACCGAATATTCGGTGCAAGCCTAATTATTATCATCTTATGCATAATAGACACACTACCCTATATTTTTTATTATATTTACTATAACACTATATTCACAAAAATTACTGGAAAACTAATGCATAAAACCCAAATCACACAACGCTCGTCTTCTGGGCTGGTTAGCATGTTTGATTTTATCGCAGATATCGGCGCTAGATATTATAATAGTTTTTCAAGCCGTTTGCTTCACACTATGCGAGAAAGCTTGGTAGCTTTTTGAGTGAGATTTGTCTTAGCTTGCTTGACTTAAATGAGATAAACCACATGGCAAAACATTGTTTCTCTTTTGGTTTGAACGAACGAATCCATTAACAAAAATAGCGCACGTTCTAACTTGCAAATCCAGCATGCGGCAACAACTGGACAAGTGGTGACATCATTTTCCATCTTTGACAGCAGACTAAAAAAAATGAAAGAAGCGTCATGTGATGACATACTAGCATCTAAAGAAACAATATAGGTTGTTGTGCCCCATCCAGCGACGGTGCCAACAATATGTAAGTTCTTCCTGCTGCTAACCAAGCTGATACCAAACTGTGAAGGCGAATCAGTGAAACAGATTGAAGACGTTTAATGTTTTTGTCTATTTCATGATTTCTTGTACATTTTGCATATAACTTGAACAACTTAACTTAAATATAACTCCATTGATTACTGAAGTACTACTGACTCATATTAACTGATCTATATTGATGTGAACTTATTGAAAACTTGATAACGACTGACTTGCAAATGCGTCATTGCTTGGTATTTATGTGCCTGCGGCTATGTGACATTGTAATCCTTGTTTCCATGTCACAGTCTAGTGCAAATCTACGCTTTACTTAGTTGTTAAGGCGCAGTTTGCGGTTTGTTAAGGAATTTTATCAACACTGGCAAGGTTACTTCGAGCTTGCAATGTATTGTAGCATGATTTTAGAGGAATACTGCGTAGTTTGTATTTCGACCGTTATATAGTAGTTTATAATATTAATTATAATTATTACACTATAATGTATAAAAAGAGTGCACATCATTAAATCACCGATTATCTTACTTTACTAGCGATTGCAGCAAGAAAATGTTTTTTTATTTGATTTTTACACTATCGTATCTTGAGTTTAATATAATTTAAATTGTATAAATTTATTAAATATATCTATAACGAGTTATTTATTTAATTTTTAATATGGCTAAGATATTACATTTTCTCTAATTACAGAAGATGATGATGCAAATCCTGTACTAACTTCAGAATATTTGAGAGCACAACATGCCGAGCTTTTAGCTGGTCCTGTTCAATTAGTATCCGGACTCGATCTGTCTGGACAAGGAGGAGTGGTTACTTTAACAAGCCCAGCTCTTATTAAGTATAGAAGTCGGACGTTACTTATTCATGTGAAAACCATGTTCCATCCAGTACACCAAGATCAAGACGTTATTAGAGATGGTAACGATTTTTTATGAAATAAGTAATAAATGAATATTCTATAAAATGTCGAGTAAAAATTTATATATTTACAAAATATAAGAATAAAACATTTCTTTTTGAAATATGGAACAATCCATTTTATCACAATTTTGATTTAATAATTCTAGGTGTTAATCTGTTTGGTAATGTAACTAGTTCCACCCAACGCAATGAAGGTAGCAATGGCTGTGGCAAAGGACAAAATTACCTTGGCTGTGATTGGTTACATGAAGTCTCTGTTTCTGTTAGATGCTGCAAAGCAGCAACAATTCCTCATGCCCGGTAAGCGATGAATATCATGTAATAGCTTTTTATATTCACATGTTTGTAACACTTTAACAAAAATATAATATCAGCATTATGCAGTGGTTACGATTTATTAATTAACTTCCCGAAGGATAAGTTTGTTTTCATAAAAAAATCCGATTCGCTAATTTTGTTTTCTTGACGTTTCAAGCCTTTCTGAATCAAATGAGACCAAATTTGGAAAAAGTATGTGTGTGTGTATGTGAACAGATTTTTTGCCGTAAATCGACGTTTTCTCAAAAACGACCTGACCGATTTCAAAAATTTAAAAGCCATTCGATGTATCTCGATAAGGACTAGCGTTTATCAATTTTGCGCCACGATCAGCCAAGCAGTTTCTTTGTCAATCGCAAAAAAGTTAAAAAAAATTCTGTCCACGTTTTAGCCCGCAATTCTGAATCGATTTTGAAAATTGAAAAACTGTTCGAGAGATATTGGTTGGGAATCGTGCTGATTAGTTTTTGGTAAAGATCGACCGGGCCGTTTTCTTGTAATAAAGTGTTATAAATTTTTTTTTCGACGATTTGTATGATTTTTTTTGACGGTAAATACCAATAGTCTTACAGATCATACTAAAATATTACGACTCCACGACAAGTCGTTTAATTTTAACAATTCGTCAAAGTTTGCATTAGTATCGTTTTTTGGCGTTTATATTTAAAAGCCATTTGATGTATCTCAATGAGGACTATCGTTTATCAGTTTTTTGCGACGATCTGTCAAGTTTTTTGTAATTTGGTTTGGCTCATACTACCGAATCGATTTTAAAAAATCAAAGTGTTCGAAAGATATTGATTGGGAATGATACTGATTAGTTTTAGGTGAAAATCTACCGAGCCGTTTTCTTGTAATTAACTGATGAAAAAAAAAATTAGGCTGATTTTTATGGAACTTTTTTGGCTATATATCATGGTCTTATAGAACTTACTGAAATATTACGGCCTTGCGACAAATATGTTCAAGAAAATGACGTTTGTTAAAATTAAAATTAGACGATTTACTTGGTATAACGATAGAGTACTTGGTCTTAATGAACATACTAAACCATTAAAGTCCTACGGAAACTGGTTCAATTACAAAAATTATTGATTTGTGAAAATTTGCTTTTAGAAAATACTCCGAGTTAACGTGTTCGTTCGTTTTCAATTATGTGTAATAAATCCACTCGGAATACTCATATAATCACTCATAAATTAATTAATATTTTTATTGATTAAGTCGATTATTTACACATATCGGGAAGTTCATGTAACTTGCCTCAAGGCAAAATACCAATACCAACTAGTTTGATTATTGTTTTTCCTCTCCATTCATTATATTGCAGAAATAAGTTAGACATGTTTCATTGAACAACTCCGATGCTCAAACTATTGCAACTTTTTCGGGGTGATTTTTGTCTGCAAACTTTTAGAGCTCTGAAAGCGGCTTATAAATTATTGTAAGGACCTTTGCTGGAGTTATACCCTTTGTCAACTCATATGCTTAAACACAGTTACATAACACATTTGTAACAATATCTATGGTGTGTTACGCTTGTACATCCTTGCCATCTTCATATTAATCAATAGTTTTAAGATTTAATTCAAGAGATATGGTCCTTTCCTCTGGACTCATTATTATAAAACTTTTAGCGCTTTGTATCTCAAAACGCTCGTATGTTAGACGACTCCCAAGTCGGAGTAACACTGTAATAATTTTTTAATTGCATTAAAGTTGATTAAAGTAAATTTGTCATATTTGAATTATAAAATGGTAAATCTTGGCAAAATCTTGAATGTAAATTATTTTTGATAGAGATTTTAATAATAATTAAATTTGGAATTTTATAGCTTACAAAGAGCAGCTATGCTGGATTCAGATACACTATTACAGAATTTACTATATGCAGCTACAGCTAGTGAATCAAAACCAGGACAGGGTGGTATTATAAAACCAGTAAATACTAGACTTGTTAGATCTTTATCATTAGATACTATCAGTTGGATAGTAAATATTCGAATGATGCGTAACAGGTGAGATATTGTTCAATTACTCAGTGATATATTTCGATTATTGGTTGAAAATATTTATGCTGTAAACCTAGGTTGCCAGATGCCGGGAAAAAGCAAGGAGATTGTGCAAAAATTGTTCAAGCAGCTTTAGATGGCTTAATAAATGTGTCTCTGCTTTCGTGTGGTCGATCAGAAGCCAGAAAATGTGTCAAGTTGCTTTTAGTTTGTAGCAAGTAAGTAATCATGTTTTATATATTGCATTTAAAGTTATATATATATATAAATATATATATATATATATATATATATAATGGGTAGTGCTGCCCTAGGGCAGGTTCGTGAGCTGAGTTAAATTCCAACTCGATTCAAGGAAGAAATAGTGTGAGAGTTTTTCCCTTTTCCATTTCACACCGCAGTGCCCGAGATGGGCTTATTTTCAATTGGAAACATATTTTGATCTATATTTTCAATTGAAAATGGACATCGCGCTGCCCGATGTCAGATCAGGGATTTGAACGCGCGACCCTGTCCATACAAAGTCAACGAAATTATATATATATATATATATATATATATAATCTATTATTGTTATTTCAATTTTTGCATCAAATTCTTGAAAGCATATATTAATTGCATGATAAGGTAAATTTACAAAATTTATTTCTAAGGTTGAAAATTTTTATATCAAATATTTAAATTTTTACAGTGGAGTTTCAGACTTACCACCAGATGCACCAATAGTACCATTCGATCAGACTTTATTGCGTGTGTTGTTAAAGACAATGCTAAATGGACTACCACAGGTTAAAACTGCATCGGCATTGCGTTGGTATTGTCTCTTATTGATTAGGTAATTATTTTTATCACAAAAAGATATTTTTGTTATTTATAATCAAAAATTATTTTGTTCTGTTTGTTATTGTGGAATGTTTTGGAGGCTGGTTATATCAAATTATCTACTAAATGAATAATTGTTATAATAAAATTGTGAATCAATGTATAGTGACATTTTTGAAATTTAACTTTAGTTTGTATGTGGTAAATAGCTCATTGTTTTTAAGATTGACATAGAAAAAAGTGCTATCTGGATTTGATTCTTTCTAGTTTATTAAGTATTTAATTTAGATTTGCAGGTGCGGAGAATCGTGGTCCGCTCGCAGTTGTTGAACGCTGCTTAAGACTTTTACGCAAAGCAGCGATTGAGCGAAGTAAACGCAGATGTCCGTATACTGATTTGCTAAGAGCGCGATTTGGATTAAATGGAATGCCTTTTGATTCTGATGTTTTTGATGGAGAGTTGCCCCAACAAATTCAACAGCGAGGCCTCGACTCTATGCTTGGAAATAGAAAGCCAAAAGCGGTATCAGATTTAGCAGACATGGCAGGTAATAATATAGTTATGTGTATATATTTTGCAATAAATAAAATGTGGTGCACTCACACATCGATCTCATTTTGGGTAGAGCACCAGTAAGAAGTTGCAAGATGCTGATGATTTCATATTCTAGTGTTTGCCCCAGATTTTCTAATAATATTCATTGCTAATAATTTAGCGTTATCTATTTTCATTGATAATATAGATAAAAAATCTGTTTTCAATTGAATATAGTCTTTCCAGATATTTAAAAATCTCAAACTGAAATTGGGAATCGAACTAAAAAAGAAATTAATTTACAATTTGCCTAAAGCAGTGTACTCTCACACTATAAACAGGTGCAAACCATATGCAATTTTCCAATGTACATTAGCTTTTTATGTGCACATGAAATCAACATAGAGTATTAATTTTTTACTCCGATATAACTAAGTCAGTTATAATTCAACTCTAACACTCAACATGCACATACATAAAAACTATTAAATTATATTATTTAATTATATTAAATTATAACATAAAACCTTTTAATCAAACTTCTAAGGGTTGGCCTGAAATTCAAATGTCTGTTGTGCTAAGTTAACAAAAAAAAGTTCTTATAATTAAATGTTAATTTATGGATAGATAAATTGAGACTATTTAAATTTAATATTTTACAGTTTGTGTCAATATAATAACAATATAATTTTTATCACATTATTATAATATGAAACATAATCTTAATGATATTTATTAACAACTCAAAAATTTATACTAATTATTTCATAATTAATCTAGATTAAAAAATTTATTAATCAAATAAATAAGTTGTTTTATAAGATTTATTTAGTAAAAATTATTTGACAGTCGCATTGAAAACGTTTCTGCTTTCACATTTCTATTAATACAATGTTAATTTCAAAATTACAGCTAAACCTATTCCCTGCACAAAAGGATTACGTGGTTTAGGAGAAGTGCAACCTTTGCACTTTATTTGTAACTCTGCTTCTGAAGGTACAAAATTAGAAAGACTGCAAAATAGTGGTACCAATACATGTTTCAATTTCGATGGTACACATAATATATTATTCAAACAGTTTGATCCAAAGGATGTCAAAGAGGACGTAAGTCGATGAAATATTAGACATAATTTTTTTCTTGTAATATATAATTAAACAAAAAATAATGATTGAAACATAATTGTAAAAAAATTATATATTTTTTCAGCAAATATTAGAATCCTCGGCATTATCTATGAACTGCAAGCTAGGTAAACTATTACTATCAGTGGAGAAAGAATTAGCAAAAGCTAAATCAACATTAGGTCACAAAGATATTGACATGGAAGTATCTGATTATCAACCAGGTGATTATTTTAATTGTATTAATAAATCATATGTAACTTCAGTAAGCACGTGTATAAATACATACATGTATAAATTTATTATATGCTGTAGTTGTGCATCTAATGTTAATAAGACAGCACTAGAAGTTGATAATATAATAATTTACAAGTTTAAAATTACTTCTAATTTTAATTTTTCTAATTTTAACTTCCTGTTCAAATCTGTGAATAAAAGATTTAAACCTTGAATTCAAAGAAAGTTTTAAAAAATCAGTCAAAATGTAAGTTTAGTTGATGGCACATTGAATAATAACTCTAAATTAAAAAGTATACATGTGAAGATTTGTAATATTAGGATCTAAAGATTGAATCTATTTACATTTATGTGCAAAAAAATATATTAATATTTTATTGCTTTCAATGGAATAATTTTTATTGAATCACTATTCTAGATGTTGATGTTGCTGAAGATATGTCTGTTGATGCTGATGATACCAAATCAAATACTTTCTCACAATACTTGCAACATATGTCTCAACTTGACACAACTCAATCATGGTCGCCAGCTTCCCAAGCTACTACTATTGGCTCACAGAATACTGATTATTCACAGGTACTGATTATTCACAGGTTTAATGTAAACTAATTGAACTTCTTATTTTTTCATGATAACTTTATTTAAATAGAATTGAAGATATTGTACATGTGTAAATTCTTACTAATCATTTTAGAATGGTGATGAGTACATTTTACCTTGGTCTCGTCTGTTAACTCCACCTGGTCAACAAGCAATTGTCATTGCCAGAATGCATTCTTGTGCAAGGAGATTTGTTATCTTAGATTTTGGACGACCGGTTTTATTGACAGACTTGGTTTGTATAAATTTTGATATTTAATATGATAATCAATAACCGAAAATCATTTCTTTTTTTAAAATTTGATGATGAAACTGAAATATATTTTTAACTAATATTTAATGAAAATTGAAACAAAGTATATATTTCTTTATTTTAACATCATTTTGTTCTGCTTAAAATTTCAAGTTTTGCTTCTAGCTGTGATATGATAAAGTTCAGCTCATTAAAAACGATCAGGAGTTTGTACCTGAACTAATTAATGCCTGAATTATGGTACTATTTACAAATGTTTTCAGGCTATCCCATCATGCAATGAACTGATGTCATTGACATTAGATTACTGGATAACTAGTGAAGATGGTGAAAGCATCAGATTAGTTATGGCTTCTGATATCGGCACTAGGACACTTGTTATGAAAGATTTACAACCTGCACCTGTTTTACGTTTTTTGAAGGTACTTGACACATTAAAATTTAGTTTATGTACTTCATGTTTGCATATAATATAGTTTTGAGTTACATCTTTTTCTGTGGATAAATAATCTCTATTCTAGCTGACAATGATTGGTCGGTATGGCATGACAGCAACCAGTGTCAAATTATCAGCTGGTAGATATTACGGTCACAGCACAGTTTTAGAAGCTGATGCCTATTGCGAAAGTCCAGCAGGTCTGTCCAGCACATCAGTAGTAACTACTTCTGAAAGGGCGCGAACACAGTTAGCATCTTTAAACTCCTTATATGAGGATACAGCATGCAGGTAATATATATATATATATATATATATATATATATATATATATAAGCTAACAGTTATAATTTAAAGCAGTATAATTAAAAGAAAATCTGGACAATTATACCAATTTCTACACATTGTGTGAGTCTAGGAATCGTTTAAATGATTCTTTAAAAAAATGTCATGTGCTAAATTGTAGCATTTGTTTATGATCTTTTGATATTAGCATAGGATTCTTAAATTATTCAGTAGAGAAAGTATGCATTTTATATGTAACATAGTTTAATTGTGACAGTTGAAAGTATATGTACATTGAATTGTATTAAACATTTAAACAATGTATATGAAGTAATTTACATGTGATGCATTAGGCAAAACAAAGATAAGTATATTTCAAATAATATTACCACAATTTTTAACTCTACAGGTATCGTTCAGCTTGTTGCAATTTGAGATCTATTTTGAGGCCATTGATGGGCCTTGCTCCATCTTTAGCTGAAAAATGCGCTGACGGGGAAGATGACAAAGTTATGATGGCTTATCAGGTTATAAAAGATTTTGATCAAATTAAAAAGTATTTTAGGCTCATTATTGTAGTGGATTTTGAAGAAAAAATTTAATGTATAATCAAAATTAATATTTTTTATTTATTATAATTAAAACAATAAAGCTATAAATTTCTTAATTCAATATAATAAATTATAACTAATTGGGCCTTTTTTTATTTTTACAGCATTCTCATTTTTTTTATTCTTTTAATCTTTTAAGGAATGCATATCACTCCAGCAACAGTTAAGTGTTCTTCAATCTGTGACCTTACGTTTGCAAGAAGCGTGCAATGAGCAAAGTACAGAGCAGCAGATAATTAAAACTGAAGAATATATTTCACATAACGCCATAAGTTCTAGTGAATTTGACTTGGCTGCTGCTAGTTCTGATAAATTAAGGGTTCTGTGCGAAAGTTTGGTGGTTGTTTACCTGCGCTTACTTCAAAAAGCTAGTCCCAAGGTGAGATTTTTTTTGTCAATTTCTCATTTAATTGACGAAAAGATGAAATTTTGATATATTAATGATTGATATGTTATTATTTTAATATTTGATCTTTGACCAAAAATGTTTTGATATGATAATTTATTTAATTTGCTCATTAAATAGATTTTTTATGAAAATATATATGTTTGTGGCCTTTTATACAAAACTGTTTCAAAACACTTATTAACCAGCACATCATATTTTTTATTTATTTATTTATTTTACAAGCCGTCGGTATAATAATTTTATAATAAGGCTCAAGTCAATATTTTGCAGATTTAATATAACTTAATTAACTATATTAACTATTTTATTACTTACTTATTTATTATAAACTTATTTATATTTAGTTAATTTCAATTATTTTTAAATATAACTAGTTTGTTTGTTGCAAGCTTTACAATACTTCTACAATATAATTGTTTTGTTTAACAAATTCTAGGCTGATTTTATGATATTTTAAAAAAATTAAGTGTCTTATATTATTATTATTAATATTATTATTAAGTATTTTTACAATATAAGTATTTTCTTTTACAAATTTTTAGGTATTTTAATGAAAGAAATATTTTGTTTCACCATTTTTCAAATGTTTTTAAATTATAAGTTTTTAGTTAACTAATTAATAAGTATTTTAACAATAACAATCATATAAAAATATTAATTATAAAAAAATAATAATAATAGTAATTTAGAAGTATTTTTGCAACAGAAGTATTTAGTTATGACGAGCATAGTAGGCATAGACATGGCTGGTAGGTGACCTCAGTTAGTTTGGGCCCGTAAATTCGTAGGGATTTTTACAATCGTCGATCCATCGATCTTGCTGCCGCCTGTAATAGAGAAATTTCTTTGAGGGGGAAAAGTAGCGTAATGATTAGTTGAGATTTTCGGGAAAGTAATTTGAAAAATCGAAATTTAAAAACTCCTGAGGGCGGCTATAAGAAGTTAAATCTTTTAAGGGGTTAGGGGTACTTGGAGGCATGAAAAAATGAGATTTTTCAGTATTTTTTTTTTTTTATTAAACGATGTTTTTTTTACAAAAATTTCAGGAAAAAAAATCCCAAAGTTATACCTGTTTTTGTTGACTCTGTTTCAAAAAACGGTCCTGGCGGTTACCGTCATAACTCCTTAGAGATTCATCTAAAATCAATCAAATGAAAAAAATAGTTTTATAAATAGATAATCCTGGGTCTGATCGAAGTTTTTTTTTTCAAAAATTAATAAAATGGCAGCATCAGAAAAAAAATCTAGATTTTTGGCTAAAAAATCAACAGTTAAATTGGTCTTAAAAAATTGAAATTTTTGAAAAAATAAAAATCCTTCGATCAGGCCCGAGTTTAGTATGTATTCTAAAAGCTGTATAAATTTCCTTAAAATTTACTAAGCGGTTTTTGAGTTACAGTGGTCACCGGTTCAAAAAACATGGTTTTGAGAAAGTTTCACATTGGATTTACGTACAGAAATTCGAATTATTGAATTACTTAAACCGAATCATCTATATCTGGGCCATATAATAGTTAATCAGTCATTGTGTAAGTTTCCAAAATTTCCATTAACTGTTGCCTACGAAGCATTCTGACCACCCTGGTTCTGGTTCTCGTTGGCGCGCTGATCTGCCACTTTCACACGTGCAGCATCCAATTTTTCAGCATACCAATGGGAATTATACCCACAATTTGGTCCTAGGATATCCTTAATCAATAATAATGATTATGTACAGTAGAATCCGCTTAGTATGACATCGAAGGGACGCCGAAATTTCGTCATACTAACCGGTCGTCATTATAAGCGTACTGAAGAAAAACTTTTTAATATGCAAATATATTACATGTTTCAGTAATTTAAAACAAAGGCCTATACAAACGTTTCAATTAAAAATAAAAATGACACATTAAAATTTAATATAAAATAAAATTGACATAGGGTAGGGCGGGGCACAACGGTCCAATTTGACTTACGGTAATTATACTGTCTAAACCCAACATACATCAAAGAAGCATCTATCGAACTATGTTCAGAAAGACTTACATACATACGTACATAATTCCTAATTATATAAACATTTTATTTTTTACTATTTTTTAAACATTTGGTATCTGATCCATTTTACCTCACATACGGGGTAAAGTGGAACAACCAGGGGGCGAACAGATGCAATTTCTTCTATTAAATTTTAAAGGCATTTTACGCTACATTATTGAATTAATGCAAAATATTAATTCTGTGGGTACATTTGTTACAAAGACAACACAGTATATTACATTGAAATGCTATTGGTCAGTAATATTCATCAGAAGAGCCGTAATAACAATTTATTCAATTAATCTCTTGTAAAATTGCTTTTTTTAAACTTTACTATTTTATTGCTTACACCTTTGCCAAAGTAAAGGTTCAGCTGGTCCTTTTTATCGCACTCATGTGCTGCTTATCTTCTGATAGCAAAGTCATAAGAATAAAGGTGATGGCTGGTTATGAATTTATACATTTTTTGTCCTCTACTATCAAATAGAATTGTTAAAAAAAATCTAATTTTATTTGTTTATGAGATATCCGTGGTGGGCCATCAATAATTAGTCTCCCCTACTCATAAACATACAAATGTGATTGTTTAATGTAAGTAATAAGTAATTTTTGATTGATTTCTTTACATAATTTTATTGTAAAAACAGTCCCTGGTGCTATTGTGCACAAAAGACATAGCAATTGCTTTCGTAGACTTGGCCACATCATGTAAAATCATGTCGGTCATTATAATTGGACATATTTTTTTGCAAAAATGGGTCATTATAAGCGACATGTCAATGAAAGCGATGTCAATATATCCGACTAGACAGCCGTTTTTTTAAGGATTTTTGTATGCAAACCAAATTCCTAGTGCGATTACGTCATATTAAGCGGTTGTCAATATATCCGGCGTCATACTAATCGGATTCTACTGTGTATGTATTCAGCAATTTGTACGATAGTAGAACTAGTATTCACGGTTTTTAAGCATATTTTTTACACCAGTTGGTTGAAGCTATTATTTTTTTTTCATTATGGATTCAATCTTGAACTACACATCTTGAAAGTAAATTATCATTGCTGAGATCGTCGTAAATTGGTTTAAAAGCTTTTAAAACATCAGGAGGTGAGGGAGAATAATTTTGAATATAAGTATCGAGCCTTCCACTTGCGTCAGCGCGCTGGTAAGAGTCCAATACTCAAAAAGTAATCATCGGATCAACTTGAAATTTTTAAAAAACATTTTCAAGATATTACACTTAATGAAAATGCAAAATAATAAAAATCAATTTTTCAAAAATTCCAAGTACTCCTTACCCCTTAATGCATTGCTTAGTACTTTATGAAATTTCTTATTATCGTAATACGAATACGTAACGGCAGTTTATTCATAAACTGAATACCCATACCGCAGATAGTATTAAAGAAACCATGTAGTTTATAGGTCCTACCTTTAATTATTTTATGTCTCGTTTTGTGCTTGGTATTTGACATCGAAGACAAATTAAAAAAGTCTGAATTATTTTTTTATGAAATTAAGTGGGACTAGAACAAATATACTCTAAATTTTTTTGTTTGGTGAAGAAATTACGGCATGATGTCTTGGAGGACAGTAAAAAATTATTCGAATTGCTCCCTTTTGCAGTTTGAAAACTTTAATTAGTTCGTTAGAGAAACCCCAAAATTGGATACCATAAGCAATATGTGAATAGAAATTTGCGCAATAAATAGAAAGTAAACCGGATATTCCAATTTTTGATTTAAGGGCTCGCAGGATAAAGCATGTATGCTTATAAACATCACAAACACAACATCTTAAGATTTTGCAGCATTTTCTTTTCTTTTTTGACTTTACAAAGAATATGGAAGTGTCTTAATCCTAAAAGGACATTTGTAACAGTATCCTCATTTAAATTACTTTCAGATGGCTTGTAATCTGGCGCGATTCATAGACCAAGAGGCATGCTCAGAGCTGTTCTCTACACTAGTTGTGCATGGTGACTCTGCACAGATATCTTGTTGTGCCCTTCTAAGTACGGCATGCAGTAATAGAACTTGGTGGGGCACGTTTTTGGCTGATTCGTTGAAAACATTATATTCATCTTCTTGTACACAATTATTCCCGAAAGAGCGGTATGTTATTTAGACATTGATTAAAATTATATCACAGCATTAATTCACTGTGTAGATTCCACCATGTGCTTTTTTATAAATTAAAATATTTAAAAATTTGGCTGCATCTGTTGAAGGCTATGCAATATTTTCAAATGTTTGATTATAAAACTTAACAATTTTTTTTATCGTAATCTGATTTTGCAAAAGGATTATACTTATCATATTATTACATTAATTTAAGAAAAGGCTGATAGAAGTAGTATGTACATCATGATACAGAAGGAACTCAGCTTTGCCTAAAATTAGTAGATAATTTAAAAATATTATTCTTTATTAGCTCAAGCGCAAATAAGTCATTTACAGTACAAATTGTTTTTAGGGTTTTTCTACTTTTAACACACCTTGGGCGTCGTGGTAACCCTCGAAGTCGTGTTTTGGATGCAGCACTACTTGCTCTTCTTCAATTGCTTGCTCCTATTGCCCCCATCAACCAATCTGCAGCAGGTGCAAGAGCTGATCAACATCAGCAAGTTCATGAAGATGAGCTGAGTCCACTCAGTGCAAAAATTGATTTATCTCTACTTTCTTGGTTTTTGTTGTATTTATCAGCTAGCTTGGATGATGGAAAAGAAGTTAATAGTAAGTAATTTTTTTGTAAGATGATTTAGTACAATTTGTTTCATTTTTTCAAAAAAAAAATTAGATACATTTATTCTCTAAAAATGAAATTAATAGATTTAAAAAAAACTTTATTCACTGTATTTGTATAATTATTAAATGCTGTGTATATCAAACATTTGCTGAACAAGATATTTTTTATGCATAATAATGCTGTAGCAAATAAAATGCTTAGTTGTTTCAAATGCTTATGTATTTTTTTTTAGGTTCCCGATGGGAATTCATGTCGGGTCAAACTTGTACACAACGAACTCGATCAGAATCTGAGCGCAATCAAGAGAGGACTGGTGCTACCAGAGTGTATCGCCGCAAATTACAAAAACGTCTTATGCATCACAAAATCCAACTTGACGATTTAGAGTCTGCCAAAAAAGCATTTCAAGCTTCATCACAGGTTATTTATTTATGACTTTGTTTTTCATAAACTTGAATTAGTTCTGAATTAGAAAGCTTAGTAATAATTAACTCAACTCTAAATTAGTAATAATAATTACGTTTGAGATGCTAATATGTGCTATGTAAATTCATAGAATGTGTTTGTCTCTATATGTATGCTAGCATACAGTTTACTTAAAATATTTATTTGTATAGAACCAGTTGATTATTTATAGTATTCTTTATATTGTTTGGTAAAAATATTTAATGGTAAAGTTAAAATGTTTGTGTCTTAGGCTTTCTCAAATTTATCATCACAAGCTTCAAACTTATCTGCCAAATTAGATGCCGCACTAAAACAACAAGAAAACGTTCTCAAGAAATCTTTGAAGCTACATGCCCAAAAATATCCATTCAAGGTAACTTATAATTAATTTGCATACATTACTATGTTTCTTTAAATTCTTATAAATTATCATGTATATATACTAGATGACACGACAGATGTTGTTCTGTACTCGCGTCTACAATTTTTTAATATCCTATACTAATATTCACCGTTTACCTAAAAATAATGATTGTTTTTTTAATTACTCTTCACATAAAAATGCATATACATTAATATGGGCGATGTTAAATGTAGAACTGTTTTAAATAAAATGATGAGTCTCAATTCCCACACCATATCGGAAATTGAAGTCTTAAATGATATAACATATTCAGAAAAAATTAATATATAGTATCTCTGCGGTAAAAGTACAATATTACTCTAATTGTTCCAATAGTGACTCCTATAATTTTTATAATCACGTATCATATTTTAACTGGTTTTTAGTAATTATAATATCTAAATTACATTTTTCTTGTCGTTAGTAATAATTTAATATACAGTAGAACCTCGGTTAACCGGACTAATTATTGTCGATAGGCATTCGGATAATCGAATGTATGAAGAATAATGTTGTTTATTAAATATTACAAATACATACATAGATATCAACGAAAATCTGCTTTATAATAAATATAATGCTTTTTGTATCTGCCTCTTGCTCAATGTTTCGATTGCTTCTATCATAAATGTCCTAGTGGATGGGTACCATTTGAATACCGTAATAAAAATAAAAAATAAAACTCGTAATAAAAAATTAAGCTTTTTCATTAACCTTGAAAAATCTTAATAGAAATTAAGAGAGAAAAGTTCACAAGAAGGAGTTCTTGATCAGGTTAAAAATGATTAATGAAATTGGGCTGTGTAGGAAAGTAAAAATTGAGGCTTGCATCTATGTATTTTTCAAACACGCATTTTAAAAGTAGTTCAGAAAATTGATCAAATACATTAAGAATTCAGTTTTTCAGTTAGACAACTATTTATGAAATGATATTTCTTTTCTTCTGAGCTTTTTCATAAGCTCAAAACATCTCAATCGAAATTCTGTCAAAAATGTTACACTTACAGAAATCGAGATGAAAAATGACGTCATTACTATAATAATTCTTACGAAATAGGGGTTTGGGGTAACAAGATGAAAATTTAGGATTATATGTGCTTTTTAAATCATGCATTATAAAATGCATTATAAAAAGATAAAAAATAATAATTGACGCAAAAAATAAAAGTTCTTTGGGGTGGCCTACTCTTATCACTTGGTGTCAATACAAATATGCGAAAACCTGTCCAGCGATGTACCTAATTTTCACAGCGATTGGTTCTATGGTTTATGAATGCATAACAATTACACACACATACACACAGACATACATCTATTTTTATAATAATAAATGGTGTTCTGCTCTTTTATAATTGTCCATGGTGTGAGAGCCGCCACAAATAAATGATTCGCTTACATTTTCTAAGGTATGTTCAAAAACCTTTGAAACGTAAAGATATATAAAAAATTTCATTTTGAAGTCAATAAAATTGGTTCCAAAATTTAAAAAAATAGACAACCCATTATAAAAATAAATAGTTTTTCAAAGTAAAGAGAGTTCTATGTATTTTTCAATCTCAAAATATAGAAAATTAAAATAAAGAAATTTGGTCAAAAAATCAAAAAAGTATTAGGTTTGGACAACCCTTAATAATAATAAATTGTATTTCCAAAAAAAAGCTTTTTCTTCAAGCTTAAAAATCTCAACTAAAATTATGTCAAAAATATTCAATGGCTGAACTTGAATTGCTGAAATGGCTATAAACAAATAGAAGTTGGTGATAAAAAAGTAAAAATCTTGGGTTGCATGTATTTTTTAATGCCACATTGTAAAAAAATAAAAACAAAATATTCCGTCCAAAAATTACAAAAAAAAAAATTGATAGTGAACAACCCTTATCACTTAGGTGTATGAAAAGTAGATAGTTAACGATTTTCTGACATACTGAATATGCATATAAAATTTAATAATGATTGGTAAACCCGTTTCGGAAGAGTACGGGACCGAACTTTGTGACCCGAGAACTTTATATATAAGATATATTTCTTGGTTTGATTACTGAATGATGACACACAAGTGTCGAAACGTTTAATGGAATAAAAAAAAATCTATTTAATCTTCTTAATTTGACGATTGGGCTGTAAAAATAATATTTATATTATTATATATACTTATATATATATATATATATTTGAATAGTCTTGAATTTGATGTTGATATACGTTTAATTTGAGTTAAAAAGTTGGGCGTATTAAAAATAGTATGAGAGTTTTTAGAAATTTATTTATTTAAAATCCCTACGTTTCGGCTAGCATCTTAACCCTCATTCAGTGGCAATCAATTTCAAATTTTGTATCCTAATATACCATATGAAAACATTATTAATCCATGATATGAGTATATGCACATTGGTAAAGTATTTATTTTTTAACATCACAGATGGTAAAACACACAAATAAACATGATAACTTAACAAGTTGTATTTACTGTTCGGAGTTTAAGATAGAAATGTTCTATTTTTAACTCAAATTAAACATATTATATCAATATCAAATTCAAGACTATTCAAATATATATATATACACACACACACATATATATATATATAATATATATATATATATATATATATATAAATATAAATATATATATATATATATATATATATAAGTATGTGAGTTTGGTGTTGATATATATTTTGATGAGTTATTTAGATTCGGTCAGTAACACCAAGTAAAAAAAAACTAAAGTAGTTTTGAAATACTTTATTTATCCATTTATCTTTATTTATCGTTTCGGTCTTCGTCGAGACCGTCATTCAGTGGAAAAACTAAAAGATTTTATATAATGGAGGAAAATAATATAAAGTTATAGAACTTATATATAAATACTTACAGAAAATTAATTCTACAAAAATATACTTCACTATTACACTGTGATAAACAAAGCTATTAATAACTCGAACATTTAAACTAATTATTTTTTTTGACAATTTTTTTGGTTACATTCTAGTATGTACACATTGACTAACGTCTAAAAACTGAATGAATTGTGTTTACAAATTTTGCGGAAGTGTAAAGAGACTGGAAAACATATGTTTTTAGTAAAATAATAAAATACACGCTTTATTCAGATATGGTGGTGTTCTGAAAAATGGTCAACGATTATTTTATAGTCATTGCAAAGCGAATTGTTGTCCGTTCTCTTATTTATGACCATCTCATTGTGTAAAGATATTAGACATCCTTCGCTAAATCTTTTTTTAAATAAATTATTTTCGAAATGTAGGATCGTGGGATTGGAAAAATCTATGTTATGTTTGAGCTGATTAATGTGATCAGTTAGTTGTGTTTTATACTGGTTTTTATTTTTAGAGTTGTTTTTATGTAGTGATGTTCTTTTGTGCAAGTTTTGACTAGTTACACCTATGTAAACGCAATTACAATCTAGACAATTAAGCTTATAAACTATAGATTACTTAGGATTCTTGGGTTAAATTTCGATTTTAATTTTGTAAAAAGAGTTGCAAGAGTGTTTTTGTAAGTACAAACTACTCTGATGTTATTTTTACTGAAGTTTTCTACACGGGTAATGTAATTCTTTAATGAAAGGTAAACTTATAGTTCCGACGTAGTTTTCATGGTTTGGATTTTCAATTGAAATATTGTGACGGTTTTGGAGATATAGGATTCTTTTTTTTGTTATGGATTGGATCAGGTGTTGTGGGTAGGAGTTGTTAGTTAGGATTTGTGAAATGAGAGAGACTTTTTCTTAAAAATTCACTGTGTGATAATAATAATGCGTGGTCTATTAAGTTTATGATTGTGCCTATTTTGATAGAGAGGGGTGGTAAGAGTGGTAATTAAGATAACGGCCTGAGTATGTTGGTTTGTGATACCAATACCAATATATATATATATATATACTAGCAAACCCGACGAACTCCGTTTCGCCACCAGATGATGGTGAGAAAGATGAAGAAATTTTTTTGTTTGTTTTATATTTGAAAAGGAAAAATTTGATCAGGAAGGAAAACCCGACTTATTTTTATATATACAGAAGATAATCTATTTGCAATTATTTAAAACAATTATTGATTATTTTTATTACTCGAATTTTTAATTACGGTGCGAGGAGTTCCTGCAATTTGCATTAGGGCACGATGCCATGCACCACTAATTTACTTAGCTATAAACCATGCGGAGCCCGAGACCTTTCCAACAAATGCAAAATTGTCGAAATCGGTTCGTGCGCTCTGGAGTTATTTCGTCAGGAAGGAAAACCCGACTTATTTTTTATATATATAGAAGATATATATATATAATATATATATATATATATATATATATATATTGTTTATGCATTTACTTTATATTCTGTTATTTATAATTACATGCTCTATATTTTCTTAACCAAATTAAATAACATATATTTAAGAAATTTTGAGTGAATAGGCCTTAATTTATACTTTCATATCAGCAGTTTTTTTCTATGACAAAAAATTATTATTAATTATTTATGAAAATAACTATTGTTTTTCAAATTACAGACCCCATCATTGCATCAGCAATCATCTACAGATGCTGGAGAGACGTTTCATAATAACAATAATAACAACAGTACACCTGGTGGATCTTCATCTGCTCCGGCAGCACCATCTGACAACATAACATCATCCACTGATGTTTCAGCACCACCTCTCGATATGTCACCTCCTGATCCTCTGCATTGCTTGGCAGTATGCAGAGCATTGCTTGCATTATTACTTAGATTTGATTCTACTTGTGGAGCAGACATTTTCTTGTTGACTTGCAAGGTGATTTGTTTGCTAATTTATTTGCTTATTTAAAACTGAACAGTTATCTAATGCAAACGAAACAATTTATACATTCATATACAAATGGGCATAGTTAATATGAGAGAGATAGGGTTGTTGTTTATACAATTAGTTCTGCTCATTTTGGTTAAATAGTTCTTAAAACTGTAATTGAAATTCTATATATAAGTTCAGTTTTTGTTTGTCTATTTAACTTTGATTTATTTTTCATTTTTGTTTTTGTAATGCATAGTAGTGACGAACTTATTCAGTATTAGTATCAGGATTTCTGATGCATGTATAGATTTTGAATAAACCTATAAATCACTTAACCATTAGAATAATAAACTAAACATAAGTATTACATCTGCCATCTTGTTATATTGAATTTTTATAAATTAGGTCTTGGCAAAACTGGTTACGAGTTGCAGACCAGCTATAACATTAGGACAATTGGCTACTTCTCATCAATTGCAACTTTTGATAAGACGTAGCGTCTGGACCGATGGCAGGCGGCCGCAGTGGGCTGGACCTTGGGCACAGCATGCAGCAACTTGTCTACTGCAAGTGAGTTATATCATGAATGATTTTATATAAAACATTTGTTTCAAAACTATTTTACAAATTTATTAATAAAGCAGCACCAAGTATTAAAATAAAAAATTTCTCATATAATTCCAATTTTAAATTGTATAGTGTGGTTACCGCATAATTATAAATTTGCTAGATTCATGTAAGAAATTTTATTTTTAGGACTTGGTAGAAACTGAAACCAAAAAGGAATTATCTGAAACAATGTCTAGCCGAAATGACAGTTCTGCAGAGTTTAGTGTCAGATTTTCTGATTCAATACGAGCGTGCCATACTGCACCTCTTTCGAATCTTGATATAATGTCAATGGATGAGCCAGAAGATGAAGCAAATGGACCTCTTGGTGACTTTTTTCTTCATAAGAATTTTAGTCTGAAAAATCTGCCTGATACTTTACAGTTCAAATGTTATGTTATAAATTACTTAAAATTAACTTTCCAGTGTATTAAATTGTCAATATTTTTATATTTCTTTAGTATTTTAAATCTAAATATCATAAATAGTTTGGTAATGAATAATGAATACTGGCAATATTCTAGCAGTACCTTCACATTTGATCGTGAAGCTCTAAAGAATAAAATATGACTGTAATAATCTATTTTAATTTTTGAAAATCTATTTTTCTAACCATTAATTATAATTTTTATCAAAATATAGTCGGTAAGGGTCAGCTACCCTCTCTCATAGAATCTGACGATTCTGAACTAGAGGAATTTTTGGATGATGTCATGGATCGTGGAAGGAACTTGTTGCGACGTAGTGAGCAGTCGTCACGAAATTACATCATACCTAGTTCGAGGTATGTCTAAACTCCAAAAAATTTGATATACATATCTTTCATAGCTTTGAAGAAATATATGTATATATGCATGTATGTACTAATTTGTCAGAAATAAATCAATATTGACAATTTTAAAATTTTAATGCTTGTTATATGTCAAAATTCAGCAAATCATACCAGGAAGAACAAAACAAAATTAAACACCAAAACAACGAAAATTAGAAAATAAGAAATAATAGTTTTTACATTTAACAAAAATTTTGATAAGAAATTATCAAAGTTGAGTTTGATGTTAAGAGTCATTTGTAGTTATCAAATTGCCACTTGATAACTTGATAATCATGTAATGTAAAAAAGAGTTAACAGTTCATTAATACAGAAAATAAATGAAGATAGTGCACCAAATCATTTCAAATTTCGTTCAAATAACAAGAAATTATGTTGACCATTTAAAATTTTATAGGTTATATGTGTAAGTAAATTATGAATGTCACTATGGATACATACATTTCAAAATTTAATATTGTTGGCTTGACTTGATTGTTTTTTACTCAGTGTATCAATCGCCTTGGATGCACGACTCGAAGGTGGACTAGACTCATCAAGCGAACTGATGTTGCGAAGACTAAAATTATCAGCTTTGACAAAATCAGTAACACCATCCTCTCCATCCTCACCAAGCACCAATTCTAGTGAAAGCCCGGTTAGTATAGGCACACCGAGTTCTCTTTCGCCCGAAGATCATGTACAGTTAATGAATTGGATTGCTTGGCCCGACATATATTCAGATCCGGTACCAAGTGCTCCAACTTTACTCTCGCCTTGCTTTGATGCATTATTCACTGATCTACACATGCAGGTACAGTTTTTATATTTTCAAAAAAAATTATGGTTGAATGTTTGTATATCTTAATTTATAAAAAATGATATATTTTCACATTATGAAAAGTATTAAGTATGAATTATAGTTTTCTGTCATTTATATCACAAGCTGTATATATTATTATTTACAAAAAAGTTTTTTTTAACGAGTTTAGCTAGTCAATTAAAATGGATGGTTATCTAAGTGTTGAAATATATTATAGTACATGTTTTATATTAAATGTCATATTATTTTTTATAGACCGGTGCTAATTTGGAGGCATTGTTACGTCTTTGGACAGCTATTAATGACCAAGCTCGTTGTAAAATTTTGCTCAACCTGACTTCTCTTCAGAAGCTGGTTTCAGCTTTGGCATGGTAAGCTAACATTATTTTTACTTTGAATTTAACAAATACAACTATGACTGAGGCAAAAAACATTTTCATTGCTGTCATGCAAACTTGTTCTAAAATTTAGTATAAGTGTATTTATTTAAAGTAATTTATTAAATTACATATTTATACAAATTTGTATATGACAAACCATATTCTCGAATCATGTATAATATTAATTATCTATTAATGAAAAGTGCAAATGCATAATATAAACATATATAATTTGTTTTGTTCAGTAAATGTATGAAGAACACAATTTTTAATAGGTTGGATGCTATTCCGTTACGTGCATGGTCCTTGGGTTTTCAATGCTTGTCTGCTGGAGTCTTGTTAACAGATGTTTTAGGGGGACAATTAATTCCAAAAGAAGCAGCAGCTAATCTTCTTGATGAATCAGATTTTAGAGCCATGATAGTTAGATTTTTATCTGGAGATGGCGATAGCACTTGTGTGAGTTCAAATACAGTTATTAAAACCTTCAGAATTTAAATAGAGAATTTTAAGAAAAATATGACATGAATGCAGGAATGTAATGTTATAGCAAATTACAGAAATTTTATTGCACATTTTTTTCTTTTAAAATAATTATTACATGCATTATGTCTATATAATTGAAGTATGCTAACAGAATACAAAGTTGCAATTACAAAAATTCTCAACTACTTTTATCAATAGTGGATGGATTTTAAATCATCCATAAAAGATTATAATAATATTACAAGAATGGGTTGTTAAAATTAATATACTGCAGCAGGCCGGACCAACAGCTTGTCAGGCAATGTACAAATGCCTATTAAGATTGAAATCTCGGTGTGAAGATGACTCACATTTTCGAAATGCAATGTTGAGAGTTTTGTTGCGATTGCTACGACCTGGGCAACCAGTGGCATTACAACAGGGACCACAAGATGCTCAGGCCAGATTTGTACATGGCTTGCTTCATGCTGGTTACGAGAGATGCGATCTTGCT